GCTGCTGCTGCTGCTGATGTTGTTGTTGTTGTTGGTGGTGCCGTCGTGGTAGTCGTGGTTGTTGTCGTGGTCGTGGTCGTGGTCGTTGTCGGTGTCGTTGTCATCATGGTGGTGCCGGTGCCGGTGCCGGTGCCGGTGCCGGTGCGGCTGCTGCTGCTGCTTGCTGGTGCTGGCGCTGGTGATGGTGCGGTGCTGGTGCTGGCGTGGGGTGGGGTGGCGGTGGCGGCGGTGGCAGCATGGGCGGCGGCGGGGACGGAGCCGGTGGATGGTGCTGCTGCGATTCGCAATGGTAACCGTAGTAGTCGCAGAAGTAGCAGTAGCAGCAGAAGCAGCAGCAGTAGCAGGAGAAGCGTGCTTCATGCACCCTGCCTCAGTCAGTTCGGCAGACAACGAACGCGCCCTTCCGCAGACAAAACATGTAGGAGTGGTGTGAGCTCCTGCTAGTCGAGCTACTAGTCATCTGAAACTAGCTTCAACATCAAGGCCGAATTCTACTGCTTGCCTCCTGGTGTTGATTCTGCTAGCACTAGAGATGATGGAAAAAGGCTCACATCACATGTCCAAGTCGAGTATTGGGTACCAAGCCCTGCCCCATCCCCGGCAGAGGATCCAACAGAAAATGCTGGGGAGAAGCACCTGCTTCTAAGGATGCAGCCAGGGTCCTAGAGGCCTTAGAGTCTAGGATGATCAGGGCTTAAGTTTGAGGAGTATCCTCAGTGCGTCGGTGAGTGGATGAGAGTAGCTTCTCTACATCTCACTGACGTATGTTCTCCTGGTAGACTCTGACATGGTGATAAAGTTGTTCGCAGCTGTTGCATTCTCGGTGAATACGTGAATTAGGAGCAAAGACTCACAACGACTCTTACTGTACAACCCCATCTGCCCAAGGTTGCAGATGCAGCAGATGCAGCAGCGATAAAGGCCTCTCGGATTTGTTTAGGTCCGAGCCTAAATAGGCTATGACCTAAGCACCCGTGTTCCCTAATACAGGCCACATAACCCCCTTCCCTGCCACGCACCTCGAGGCACGGGGCATCATCGATATCTCCTGCAGGGTCTCCGCCCGCTGTGTGATGGAGCCTTCTCGCTTGAGCAAATCCGCGGCAAGGCCATGCACCTGACTCTCCGGGCTTGGGGAGAGGGAGGGACAGGGCAAGGGGGTGTATCAGTTTAGGATTGTATAGGATTTGCCACGATTTAATGATTTAGGAGCGAGGGCCAGGCCGGGGGGAGGGGCTTCGGAGAGCGTACCCGTTTGTGCGTTGAGTGTACAGTCTTCTCCAGGGTCCAAAGGTTTTCCTTATGGGATGCTAAAGTAGGACCAGCTGTCACAGTGCTTGCAAATGCTCTGAAAGTAGATCCATGCAGCGACTGAGCAATGTGGGGGGACAGATCAACGTCTTGCAATCACATCCGGCTCAGAAAGATATGCAGGATCTTAACACAGCAGGGGACCCTCACAAAGAACCCTGAACAGTAGAGGATGAGAAGGGTAAAAGGCCCCTCAAAAGTTCGCTCATCAGGGAGCCTAATTACAAGAAACCCCATGTACAAGTAGGTCGTCATACCTCCCCTTCCTTTTCAGGGCGCCGGAGTCTTAAAGGAAAAAACAAGTCGGCAATGTGTCCAAACTGTCTGGCATGGCTTGACAAGGCGACAAGACACTTCGTCTGACAGAAGCCGTGTCGCGAGAAACAGGAAAGAAGCCATCTCCGATCGTGCGCTTGCAAACCTGGCAAGGGCTCCAAGTACAGAGCTTCGGGCTAGGCTTGACGCACAAGGTGCTGTTCGGTCGGCGCACGTCTCCCCTCGCTCGAGCTTGGAGGCGTCACTGCGGCTTTGGAACTGCTTCAGAAGCAGCAGCTCCTTCAGAGGGTGGGAAGGTGAAATGCACGTTTCGCATCTCTGATCTGCGCTCCTGCGCTGCGGCACTACCTCGCCAGGAACAGCGAAGTTGCAGGATAGATGCAAAAAGCTGTGGCCGGGCTCGACACTGTTCCTCAAGGCAGTCTCTGCCGCCTCAGAGTGTCTGAGCATTGGCATGTCCAATCTAGCCTTTGACGGACACATCTCAAGCCTTAGCAATTAGTCATGAATAGCTGGTGACTGGAAGTCCGTGTCTCGAGTGCGCAAGTCTTCACAGACGACCCCCTCCTGCTACTGTGCCCGCCACGCGCCTCGCGGAGCCGTTTCCTGACGTCACACATCGTGGACAGCTGTATGTAGCGGGGTCTACATGCACGCTGCCGACTAATCGACGAGCATTTGTCAATTAAAGACACAAATAACATCATCCCTGAGACTCCAGCTCATGAAAAGACTGCCTCTAGTCAGAAATCCGAGACCCGACAGCTCAGGACCATAAGCTCTACACCAGACTGTACACCCAAAGCCTTACATCCATACATTAAACTTCAACACCCTAAACCTTACACCCAATAACTTATAAGACGGCAAGGCAGCATTCATGGCGCTCCTGTGCGCATCGTTCGCCGCCCAACCTGCACCGGTCGTCTGGAGCCCTGCCTTGGTAGAGACTTGCCAAGGCTCTAAATCAGGGTCACTTTTTAGGGTTCCCCAAAGCAATCTATAAAAAGGTTTCTAGAAGGGTTTCCAGAACAGTTTCTATAAGGGACAAAGGTTTGATAGGGGTACTTCTCTACATTAGGGTCCGTGTTAGTGTTGGGGTGCCTTTTATAAGGCTGCAATACCATGTCGGGGGCCTAACAAGGGACCCTCAAGCATGGGGCCTTTGGGCAACCCTGACCATACCTCTGGGCCCTGGGAATTTTTGTTCAGTCACATCCTCCCCGAATGATCAGGACGCTGAAGGTGAGATAGGACGAGGAGGAGAAGGAGGATGACTTCGCTGATTGGCATGATGTGCTGATACCGGACAAGATGGTGATTATGATGATGATGATACCTCGCATCAGAATCATTGTCGTACAAGGATCAGGATGATGTCAACGATGTGATGGCGATGCCCATGATGCCGATGCTGATGATGATGACGAGGCCGACCACGATGACGAAACTGGCCTGTTGGAAGTTGGTGCGGCCGAAGTCTCGCAGCAAGGCCTCAGCTAATATGTGCATCTGATGAATGAGTCCAGATGGATCTACCTTTAGGGTCGGGGATTTCGGGTTTTAGCAGCGTCCGAGGACGCTAACATTCTGGGCTGTTTGAAAGGAAAAGCATGCACACACTAACCACTGCCATCACAGCGTCTTTTGCGACATGCTTCACACCAACATTTCGTCGGGTTTGAAAGGTACACAAAGGCAGTACTGGCCCCATAACGTTGACCGAAGATTTCACGAAGCCAGGCAGGATCTCAGAGTAAGCTTCCAAGCCCAGTGTAAGCTATGACCGCGGCTGCTGCTCCATCCGCAACTCGCATGATAGCCGGCTCTGCAGCGCTTCGAACCTCCGTGTCCGCAAAGATGCTCGACAATGCCACGTTTTAGTATCACAGTGTGCACCAGTCTTGCTATTCTTGCCAGTCTTCTAGCATCTTTCGTGTGGTCTGCGACATCACGCACGAGCATGAGGATTGTTATCAGCTGGCATTCTTGCTGCTCAACAGCAGGCTGTTGAGCTCTGTGACGGCTTGTGCTGTCCTCTGCTGAAAGTAGCCTGGCCCCGCGGAACCTTTTGTTGCACACGAGACAATGACAAGACAGACAGCGGGTTTGAGAAGGCACTCCTCTGCTCAGGGGGAAGTGTTGCTTCACCCCTTGTCGTCGGAAGTGGCCGACCGTCAACCCTAAATCCAGCAACCTGAATCGATTGAAACCAACTTCCGAGGCACTAAATCTGCTTCCAGGCCGGCTTCTGCACCGTGGGGCCTGCTGATTCAAAGCACAAAAAGCCGTCTGAAACATTTGGTTCAGAAGATGTACTTGATCTCGTAACTGCTTAGATGCGCAGACAAACTAAATGCACGTTACACAGATGTATAGGCACACGTGTGTGTACGTGTATCTATAGATATATGGGCTATACGTGAATACCTGAACAGATGTGTATAGCGAGCTTCTCTCTTGACTTGACCCGGTCCCAAGACGCAGGAATGCTAAGCACCACCATCTTACAACCAGAACCGTCTGTGTTGTCCTGATGTCGATGATGAAGGCCAGCATGCCAGGACCCGAAGCCCACAACCCGAAACGCTGAGCCGTCTGCATCCACCGGAAACAATCTGAACCGTAACACAAACCTCCGGGAACCCCAAAGACCCAAAGCCTAAACCCGTAAACCTCAAAACCACGAATCCCTAAACCCAAAATTTTGAACCCCTCAACCCCGAATCCAAGAAAAACAGGCCTCGCCTCGCAGCCAGCTCGCAAAGCAAACAGCAAATGTCAAGCGTCTCTTCCTCGGGCTACAGAAGAACTGGGAAAGAACGGTCTCTTTGAACTCTTGGGGTCTTAGGGTGTTCGGGTCTGAGGCGTTAGGGCTTTAGGGTCGTGTAGGGTTCAGGGTTGTAGGGCATACTTCGCTGCATGAAGGTCAGTGTAGGAAGCCTTGCTAGTGAGACATGGTATGGTTGGTCTTGCGGCCCAGGTCCGAGCACAAGAACTTCTCAAAGTACTATTTTTCTCTTCAGCTCTGCTATCATCATCCAGGTATACATCCCTGTCTCTAGCTGGTGTTCACACCAGGATGCCTCATCTCAGTTCCGGCCACCCTGAGAGCGATGCGGCAGACCCGAAAGCAGCTTCCTGGTGCAGTCGCCGCCTGACACGTGGAGGATCTGGGCTTTAGGGCTTAGGTCTTCTGTCTGAGGCCACAATTACATCTTTTACATCTTAAGCTTTACCTACAGTATCTTTAGCTGCTCATATAAGACAATGCAGCAATACACAGGTATGTACATGCATGCACTGTCATGCTACATGTCATCATATTTCAGATGAATTTTTCACACCGATCTACATGGTGCACGTCACCCAGCGTTACTCCTTCAGGTCGTATACAAATTTCAATCATTCAACAGCAGATCTTCTTGAGTTTTCTGCCGTTGGCCTGGCCATGTGCAGTCGCCCGGTGGGGTGGAGCATCTGCGCTGCGGCAAGAGGCCAGTACTCTGCCGTGGCTTTAGCCTCCGCCAGCCTGAAAGCATAAGGACAACAGACCGCGGCAACAACTTAATGCAAGAAGCAGGACAATCCAACCGACGAAAAAGCAGCAGCATAAGGCTTTGCACGGGTGTTTCTGTATGTATGTATGTATGTATGTATGTATGTTTCCAATATCGAACTATAACCGTGCAGAATGCGCACGAAATGATGAACCATGGCAAGTGAAACACAAACTGCACCAACTCGTTGGACAACAGCGCGCTGAAGTACCTGTATTTGTACTAGTTACTACAACATAGGTCTTGCAGACGAGACGAAGCTTGTGACGCGCGTGCATACAAGCAGGTACACCTACATTCCCTGCTAACTGGGAACCTGTGCATACAGCACTCAGCATGTATCATCTGACTCTACAACTGTTGCACAATGCAACATAGCATGCCAAAGGACTACGACCCAAGCTCACGTGGGTTAAGCAATTATATTCGCGTGGTAGAACCTGACTCGGACCGCAACGCAGTACCTTGTATGCGACAACATTGCAATATAGCACCTCGGTAACTTGCGTTGTTAAGACAGATGTGACCTATAGATGATAGCTTGTCTATCACGCTTTACTTCTTCTTCACAGTCTGGATTCGGCATTGGCGGTCTCTTGCATGGACGATCCTGCTTGCAAGACGAAGCAGCACATGACAGCACAAACTCGGGCAATGTAAAAAGAGGGAGACAGAGCGAGAGCGAGGGCATATCGTTTGCAGTCACATATGTACTTAGCACCCACACATCTTACGCCCCGTGTTGCAATGTACCAAACAACTTTGACGGCATGAAACCGTGTCATACCAGCTGTCATGGCATACTAATTCTGTTGCATGGGGCAGGCGAGCGCATGCGTAAAAGTGAAACTGATGAGGGCAACGTAGGTATGAGAAACATCCAGCATTAATTATCGCTTGAAACACATGTAAAGAATGTAAACCCGAAAATGGAAAGCCGATACTTCTTTCACGCTGGCCTCTCCCAAAGCTCACGTAGGCGCTGTTGCGCAATGGCCCGCCAGGCATCACCTGCACCTTGAGAGCAGTTTCAGATGCCGTTTAAGGTCTGCTCGCTGTCTGGGAGCACCTGTCCCCAAAAAGGCCACCGTGGCTTCGGTGATGACCTGCGTTGAAGTTCGAGAAGTTCCTCCACATGAGGCTGCTGAAAACTTTGCCTCAGCACAGCCGTCTGCAACGTCGCTGAAAGCAGCCGCCGCGCTCTTCATTGCTCGGGGGTCCTGAATTCCTGGCTGCGGTCTCGTGTCCTCTCCGTCCGTTTGGTCTGAGTTCCCGCGCCTGGTAGGGGAAGCGTGTAGGCCAAGAGGGCGCAGGAGGACCTTCTTTGACCCAGGTGCTTTCGACAAAAACTGGGTAGAAGGAAGCCTCTGCCGAGCGGCCCCAACAGGCTCACCATGGTGTACTCAACACAGAACGTGATGATCGGTAGGGTGGAATTCTTGAAGCAGTCCTGCAGGTCCAGGTCGAACGTGGCTCCTTCGACTCTGACCCTCACAGACTCTCAAAGAGTCCATAGCGAAGTAAGCCGTGAGGCCGACGGTGTACCTCACGGCAGAAGCTGAAACGAGAGCAGGTGCAACTTGCCAGGCCTCTGATGCTTATTCTCCTGGTGTCTCCCTGTTGGTGCTGCTGCATGTGGGGAGGTCGCATCTTGGCGTTCTCGGAGATAGGCAGCAGACATGCAAGCATCACCTGTCTGGAATGCGAGGTCTCAAGAGAATTCTGCCCGAGCAGGGGCTCCGACGGAGACCCTTAGACTGACGACCAAATTGAAATGTAGATTTGGAGGTCCGAAGGCAAGCATGATGACTTTCTCGATTTGGCACCGGGTTCAGAGCTTGGGTTTTGCATTATCGCCTATCGCGTTTCGCACCGTCCATCAAAGAGTTGATTGCCACAGCGTGGGGTTTAGGCTGTTTAGGATTTAAGCTTCATGTAGGGTGGGCTCGATTCCCGGATTCAACACTGGCCAGCGGTGCTAAAGCAATGGAGGAAGCAATGATGGAAGCGCCGACGACTGTCTGTCCAGGCACGGCTGTCACTTCCTCGCCAAATGAAGCTGTGGATGTTGGCGGTTATAGTAGTTGGAAGTGCCATGCGCTATGTCTTAGCGGTGATACCACTGGAAGACCTACCAAACGTTCTGAGACTTCCGCGTCGGCGGACCTACCTCAGGACACCCCTCCTGGAACTGTGATGTGCATGTAAAGCCTTTGTGGTCTCCTTCGGCCATCAACATTGCACCACGTTATAGAAGGTGTTTGTGCACCCATGCTACCATGAGTTCATCGTAAAATTCTTACAGTCCCGCACACAACGTTTCAGAAACCCGTTCTGTCCTTCTATCAAGTCTGCACACGAAGTGAAGCGACAATGTAACGCCCTTGTCAACACCCAGTCGGCTACAACCATTCTCCTGAAGTGCGATGCTGCGGCTGGCAGCGGCATTCACAACTGCAAGCAGCCTGCAGTTAAGGGCATTGAAGATTACTTTCTGCATGCGTCCGTCTATATGTGTGTGTATGTGTGCGCAGGTATGTGCGCATGCGTGTACGTACATACGCAGGCAGGCAGGCGGGCGGGCGGGCGGGCGGGCGGGCAGGCATAAGTGCATTGCTACAAGTATGGATGCATGCATGTATACATGTAGACACGTAAGTAAGTAAGCGCGTATGTATGTATGTATGTATGTATGTATGTATGTATGTATGTATGTATGTATGCATGTATGTATCTGTGTATGTATATGTGTA